TGGTGAAGAGATTGAGATTGTTAACAACTTTAGTTTGCTTGGCTCCACAGTCAATACTCTTGGTACCAGCAGCCAGGAAATAAAAAAACATATTGAATTTAGTAGATGAAAGGTGTTTTAGAGGAGTCGGTGTAAAACGCAGATTGTTGCAAGTCAATCATAAGAAAGATGAGGACTGCCTTGATTCAAGTACAAAACATGTTCATGCAAAGCAAGTAAGAGAGCCAACGAGCTGCCATCCAATTGTCTCCAATTCCTGACAACCCCTATGTGTCAGAGAAGAACTGCCCTCTGCAGGGTTTTCAATTCTTCGGGAGTTGTAGCCAGGCCTTTCTTCCACCGCTCCTCTGGGTGGCCCTCACATGCCAACATTTTGGTGAGCAGCTGAGCATGTAAACCATTTTTACTACCGAGAGACTTCAATGTTGTTGTTGTTGTTATGTGCCATTGAGTCATTTGCGACTCATAGCGACCCTATGTACAAGAGCCCTAAACGCCATTCTATCCTGTGCCAACCTCGCTGTCTCAAACACATTCATTCCCACCACTCCACTCACAGAATTGATCCATCTCATCGAGGGTTTTCTGCTCCTGCAATGTCCCTCCACTCTTCCAAACATGATGTCCCCTCTCCAAGGACCAGTCCCTTCTTGCAACATGCCCAAAGTATGTCAGACGAAGCTTCAGAATCCTTGACTCCAGGGAACATTCTGGCTTCACCCTCTCCAGGACAAACCTGTTTGTTCTCCTAGCAGTCCATGGTATATTCAACACTCTTCTCCAGCACCACAATTCAAAGGCATCAATTTTCCTTCTATCATCCCTATTCACTGTCCAACTCTCTGATGCATAGTATGTAATTGCAAAGACTATAGCCTGGATCAGGCGCACCTTAGTCTCCAGCCTGACATTGTTGCACTTCAGTACTCTTCAGAGGTCCCTCACAGCTGACTTTCCCAATGCAATTTGTCTCCTGATTTCCTGGCTGCTGTTACCAAGAGTGTTGACTTCAATAGAAAAAAATTTTTAAAAGCTCAGGGTATTTAATGCCTTGAGAGCCAGAAGTCCTAGAGTTTTCTAACCTCCCATGTCCTGAGCTTCCTTATATGGGGGCCCACAGGGCGCAGGGCTTGTCTGCCTTTATAACTTTTTCCATACCCTGCTCCTCAGCCTGACAATGAGCGAGCCACTCTAGCCTTCTTTTAGTTCCCTAAGCAGGTTAAATTGTTCTAGACTTCAAGCTTCTCCATTTGCCCTGGTGGCACAGTGCATTATACATTAGGATACAAACCCACAGGCAAGCAGTTTGAATGCAGCAACTGCTCCACAGGAGGAAGATGAACTTGTAAAGAGTTAGTCTCAGAAACGAACGGAGTAGAGGGTTGCCACAAGTCAGAAGCAACTTGACAGCCATAGGTTTGGGTTTTTTATTCATTTTTTTTATTAAAAAGTCCTCCCCCCTAGAGTATGGTATCCCCAGAGCATCATCTAACTAGCTACTGCATACTTTTTGGTCACCATTCAAGCATTTTCATCTCAAAGAGGTCATTCCTGGCCCATTCTCATCACTCAGTGTAGACTCCCCCAAGCTATTAACTTTCTCTCTCATTGTCATTAAGTTTGGTTCTGACTTATAGCTGACCCTCCAGTCTGGATGCAATTGCACCCGAGGCTGTCAGGCATATGGGAGGAGACTGCCCATCTTTTTCCTTTGAAGCAGCTTTTAGTTTAGCAAAACCTTTAGATTTACAACTCTACGAAGTACACCATTAGAGTTCGCTCATTGATATTGTAGGAGTTGGCCAACTTTTCTGTAAAAGTCATACTTACTGTTGCTGAATTGTGACTGACTCAGGGCTGCCTGTCTAGCAGATTTCTAGAGACTGTAAATATCAAGGGAGGAGGCTGTTCATATTTCTTCCACAAAGCTGCGGGTAGATTCAAACCAGTCGTCTTTCTATTAACAGAACAACTCCCTACAGACTATGCTACCTGGGTGTCCTTTCTCTACAAGGGTAGGACAATAAATATTTGAGGCTCTGTGGGCCATCCAGTATCTTGTCACAACTGTTCAGCTCTGTCACTGCAGTGTGAAAGCAGCCACATAAATGAATGAGTGAGACTGTGTCTAGGAGAATCTTGTTTATGGACACTGGCATTTAAGATATAAATCATGTCCCTTTGCTATAAGCTAGTCTTTTCATTCTGCTCCACTCCTCACCCCACCCCAACCATTTAGAAATGTGCAAACCCTTCTTGGATCATGTTGTGGTTGTTGTACTGTAATGTACTACTGAGTCAGAATGGACTCTTGCTGACCCTCTGGTAGGTTTATGGAGGCAGTAAACTGAATAGGAAAAGACTGCCCATCTTTTTGGATTTGAATTGCATGCCTTGGTTGGCAGAGCAACTCCTTACTGCTAAACCACCTTGGCTCATGGACAGCACAAAATGACGTGGTGGCCTAGACCTGGCCCAGAGATCCCTATTCTGTCACATCATCTGGTCTCCCCACCTTCCACCAGAGCATGTTAATATAAAGTGAGTTATCAGGTATTCTATTTTTCCCTCCCCCTGAATGTAAGCTGCATGTTAGCAGGCCTCTTATATCTTGTTCTATGCTATGATACAGCCTAACATACAGCCTGGAACACAGAACCAAACCCAATGCTGTGGCACTGATTTCAATTCATAGACCCCCTATAGGGCAGAGTAGGACATGGCATTATAGGATTTCCCGGATGTTGGTGGAAGATCTATTAACAACCCTGCTTGCTGAAACTGAGGAGGACCTGAAATGCTTGCTGCAGATGATCAAGGAATGCAGGTTTCAGTATGGATTGAGGCTCAATGTCAAGAAGACAAAAATTCTCACCACTGGACCAACTGGCAGCATCAGGATGGATGGTGAAGAGATTGAGATTGTTAACAACTTTAGTTTGCTTGGCTCCACAGTCAATACTCTTGGTACCAGCAGCCAGGAAATAAAAAAACATATTGCGATGGGAAAGTCTGCTGTTAGGGACCTCTCCAGGGTACTGAAGAGCAATGCTGTCACTCTGGAGACTAAGGTGCGTCTGATACAGGCTATGGTCTTTGTAATCACTTTTTATGCATCAGAGAGTTGAACAATGACTAGGAAAGGATAGAAGGAGAATTGATGCCTTTGAGCTGTGGTGCTGGAGTAGAGTATTGAATATACTATGGACTGCCAAGAAAACAAACATATTCATCCTGGAGACGGTTAAACCAGGCTGCTCCTTGGAGGTAAGGATTCTGGGGCTTCGTCTGACATACTTTGGACATGTTATAAGGAGGGACAGGTCCTTGGAGAAAGACATCATGCTTGGGAGGGTGGAGGGATGGTGTAGGAGGGGAAGACCCTCTATGAGCTGGACTGATTCAGTGACTGGGGTCATCGGGATGGGTGTGTCAGAGGCAGTGTGATTGGCACAGGATAGAGCAGGCTTTAGGGCTGTTGTACATAGGGTCGCTATGAGTCACAAGCAACTCGATGGCACATAACAACAACACAACAAGTTTTTAAAAAGTAGAATGTCTTGTCTTTACATCATTGAGCTGATGAAAGATTTGAACCATCAAATTTTCAGTTAATAGACAAATTCTTCAACCACTAGGCCACTAGGACCCTTTGGCATATAAAAAGAAAACTCAAACTCACTGCCAACAAGGCAGTTCTGACTCACAGGGACTCTCAATCAGGTTTCTAAGACTGTAAATTTCAGAAGGAGGAGAGTTCTCATCCTTCGAAGCTGTGGGTGAACTCAAAGCACTGGAAAAGTATAAACTTTTTAATTAGGAGTACAAATGCCAGGGACTATGTCATCAAAGTGCCTTAAGGCATCTGAA